TGTAGGGTTTCTGGATTGCCATGGCCATAGTCTTGGGTGATAGAGTGTGAAAGGTTATTTGATAGTGTCTTTCTTGCTGTTGGATGGGGAAAATACTTTGGAGATAGGTGGGATGGGATCTAAAATCATAATCTGGTCTCTGATGGGAGAATAAGAGTCATTGAGACCCATCAAAATTGTAGCACACAATCTCGTTGATATCGATCCAGTAAGGTTTTCATAGTACCATAGTTACACGAAGGTATAGGATCATAGATAAACAGTTCATCCCAGGTAGCCCTTAATTTGCCATAATAAATGCTTACCGGATCATGCTCTTGAGACAGAGCAGCCAAAACCTTCTTAAGTTGGTAAATACGAGGGCCATTTTTGGTGAGAGAACTGTTCCTGAAGGTCCAACCAGATTTCTCGGGCATCATCAACAAAGAGAACGCTGGATTGGAGAGAGAGACTGATGAAGTTTTGGAGCCAAGAAACAACCATGTTGTTACAGCGCTCCCAAAGCTCAAGCAACGAATCGGTGGATTTAGAAGGTTTGGTGATGGATCCGGTGATGAAATCGAGTTTGTTTTTCGTGCGAAGTTCATTTCGCATTGAGCGAGACCATGTGGCGTAGTTGTCTATGGTAAGGAGATCGGCAACGAGGGTTAGGGTTGGGTTGTTGCCATGGTCAAGCCGATATGGGTTTGCCGGATCAAGGAGATTAAGGTATGGAGATGGGGTTTTTGATTCTAAGTCAGATTGAGAATCCGAAGAATCGGTATCGGAGGTTGCCATTGAAGATGCTCTCAACCTTGCTCTGATACCATGTAAAGAAAAGGAAAACAACAGTGGAGCAAAAGAACCAGAGAGCGTATCAATAGAGGAAATCTTGATATTCCATTTTGTAAAATTGCTTATTATGTACACATAAGGAATGTCAAGCATATATATAGAAAATCTGTAACAAACTAACAAACCCAACCTATCATATTGTGCCAACTAATAAACATGTGCAATGAATGAAAGAATAACAAATACAATATGACAACTGAAAATGTAAAGAACAGAGTACAAAATGACTTGTAGCTTTTAGACTTGGCTTGTATCCGTTAACAACATAAACGGATAAACTTATGGTTTAATTTGGAGAGATTACAATAAAATTAGGTTTATTTAGAATCAATTCTGAATAAATATATATTTATTCAAATTTTTATCTAATTTAATTCTAATGATGGTTCAAGTAGTAACAAGGATAAACTGTAAAATCAAACGTCTTGAGTTCGAATCTTGAAAACTCTTAAGGTTCATAGGATGAGAGATTTATCCCTCATGAATGCTCTAATTTTGACGTAAATTACCTGCTTTTGATTGGACCGATAAGGATATTAGCCGAGGTGTGTGTAAGTTGATTCGGACACCCCTAACCATTAAACCAAAAAAAAATGTCTTATTTTCTATATCTAGTTAATGTGGATGATTAGAGTAAAAGGTGCTACTAAATTTTTGTTTTCATACAATAGCCATATATATGCCAAATCATTTGGTATAAATAATTTTTCTGTACTTACAATTTTATATGACAAATATAATATTTTTGTTTCTATTTTAATTTTTTTTCTTTTACTGCTTATTCAAAATCGACACTTTTCTTAGATAACTGAGTCCGATATAAAAAATATATAATTCTAGCAATCACTTAACGAATTTATATTTTGTATGCCCCTACATGTCATGAAATTTTGAAGTATGATACATTTGAGGGTTATCTAAGTTATTACGAATATTATGCAACAAAAGTACTCATTTTTCAACCTTTGAACCTTTTGCATGTGATTTACAAAAAAAAAAAAAAAATTGTATAGAGGGAGAATATTCAAAGATTGTAATTGTGATTCGTTCTTTATAGTGTACCTTTCGATCCATCTTTAAGTTTCATTGGAATATTTTTATGTTATTAACTAAGAAAAGAAAATGTGTTAAAGTATGTCGAAGGACTACTATTTACATATTAAAAATAATTTGATCGAGCTTATTCCACCAAAACAATAGGGTTTCAAGAAAATAAAATCGAAATATTAATTCCTAGAAAACCCGAGAATAGAGATGCATTTTGTTTAGTCAACCGTACTAATTTTATCAAAAGTTTATTTGTACAGAGGGAACATACACTTGAGTTTATCGTGTCTTTTCTTTTTTTAGATGTTCCGCTTTCATAAATGTATTATCTATCCTTTTTTTTTTTGAAAGTTTGAAAATTGCCTCATATATCCTCCACAGAATATGAAGCGTTCGAAGCTTCCATAATTTAATGCAATCAATTAAGGCGGCCAAAGGAATTTTTTTTTTTTTTGACAATATTGACCCTTGGCTTCCAGATGATTGGGAGGGGTGCAATTTGGGTTGAGCAACTCGATTTCAACCTGAACCCAACTCGAAAAAATTAGGACTTGGACAAGAATTTTTAATACTTGGGTTGAGTTTGGGTCAGAAAATTCTAACTCGAATTCAATTTGGTTGGGCTTGGGTTAGAAAATCCTAACTCGACAATTTAAAAAAATTATATATATATATATATATAAAGTCTGTTTCTCTTGTTCATCTTCATTTTTTTTCTAGTATTAGCATTGTTAAAACTTTGTTAAAATTATTGGTTGTTAATTTAGGTGAATATTATGTAATATATGTATTAGGTTTAGAACAACAAGCATATTTTGAACTCTATCCAAACTCAACCCGAATTGAACCTGTAAAGTAACTCGAAATTAGCTCGAAATCATTAACCCGAATTCAACTCGAGCCCGCCCGAATTAAACTCGATAAGTGCTCGGGTTGAGTTCTTCAACCCGAGGTAGGGTTAGGTTAGGGTTAGAGTCGAAGATTATATATCTAAGATTGGACTAGGATTGACTATCCAACCCGCCCGAGTTGCATCCCTATGATTGGGTGCAGAATGGTCACCAAACTTCCTATCTTTGTACGAGAGGAATCACGTTACGTTACGGTATTGAACTATTAATTTTAATTTTTATGTAATAAAAATATATAACGTATAAAATAATATTTAATTAATAAGATATGGTGCCATTTAATAATAATTTGGTTAATAATAAGAAGGTTTTTGGAGAGTAATACTTAATGTTAATATACTAGTGATAACCTGTGTTTGAAGACAATATATAATACTAAAATTTGAATATTGATTACATAGTATTTATATTTTAAATGATATTTTAATTTTTTATTTATGTAATTTAAAATTAAAATAAAGAGAGAAAAAAAGAGATTTAGGTGAAGATTGATGAGATTATTTGACAGTGGAGAGTGTGTTGATGATTGATTGAATTGTTTGACATTTGGTAGAGGTGACAATCATGTCGTGTCGTATCAAATTCATGTCGACCACTAATCAACCTAACCCAACCAATTTAATTAATTGTTCGTGTTAATTGACTTGTTTATTTTCGTCTTAGATTTATGTTCGTATTCATGTTGACCCATATAAAATTTTAATAAAAAATTTAATGTTAAGTTTTAAGTATAATATTCTATTATCACTCAATTGAATACATGCACATATTTTTTCTATAAATTAAAAATTAACTTAATAAACATGACAATAATAATGAATTAAAATGTGTTTTTTGTAAATAATTTTGTCAATACCTAAAAAAAAATAACAAATAATTATCATTTAATTTTTATAATACTAGTTAATGTTTCTCGAATTCATAGACATGTTTGGCCAAACAGAATCTATGTGGTGAATAAACAATTAATTACTCAAATTGGCAATCATTTTTCTTTGCTTTCAAACATATAACAGATTCTGACTCAGGGACAAAAAAAAGAAAATACTTTATTGTGAGAAGCCAATTATTCAAACTGATCACCTGACCTAATGAACTATAGTGCAGACTTCTTATCTGACAACTGTGAGTAATGACAAGTCAAACGATGAATGAAACTTACACTTATAACCTCTATTTATTTAGATTGGGTTTATCTCATGTGATGTGAGAGATTGGCCTAAGTGGAAACGGTTCACCCAAATGCATAGGTGATTGCGTGTTCCAATTTAATTCTTTCTCTTTCTCACACCACTCAAAGAAAGTTATAGTTTATTTAGTATGATGGAAAATAGGGTAGATGAAAAATAGGAAATAATAAATAAAATGAAAAAAATTAATTTTGTTATTGTTTGGTTTGAGTGGAGAAAGAAGAAGGGGCAGGAAAGTCAAGAGGAAAAAGGAAAAACTTCCAGAGACACAAAAAAAAATTCGCTCAGTTTTGAGTAGAAAATGAGTGGAAAGAAAAAGCCATTGGCATTAGAAGTTTACTTTTCAGCCCTTTTAAGACAATATTATATAAATGCCACCGATCACAACACTCTGAAAGCCACAATTTTAACTATTTTTTTTATCCAGTTGCATTCCATAAACATTGGATAATGATCACCCATTGAAATAAGTCCATGTATTGATGACTGAAGATTTGATTATAAATATATCGATAGGTACTATCTTGATTGAAATAGAAGTCGGTTTGACAAAGAATTTTTGAAAATGCAGTGCACCGAAATAAATAATAAACTAGATGAATGCAGGGGGGAAAAAAAAGGAGGAGAACAAAAATCTTATTTGTGGTTAAAAAACAGTAATTTCAATAGAAATTTCCTCCATCATTCCATTTCCATCTAGTTTCAAACAACATAACAATTTAACCTTCTAGTTTTCGATCCAAAGTTAACAAACAAAAAGAGAGAAAGATTATTTATTTATTTTCTGTACAATACAATATATATATATTTTTCTATACAATACAATATCTATTCATTATATTACTCTATTGAGAAATGGTATGTGGGCCTTATTTGAGAACGTTATTTAAGGATTTAATGATGTGACTTCAATATAATCATTGGATTAATTATGAGTTCCAATGTTAAATGAAGTCTAGAATCAATCTAATAGTTGTACATCATTACATCTCTAAATAAAGTTCCGAATAAGGCCTATAATATTGCTCTCTTTTTGTCGCTCCTCCTACCAAACGCTCCATTATATTGGTCGCCAAGCTATGATCGTTCCAAAGAGTTTCACACCCATCTCCACGACATATTCATCATCCCCATTACCTGAGTGATAGATTCTGAGAGCATCCCCGACTTGAAGATGATTGGCCTCTGCGAAAGCGCGCCACTGGTCGGTCATAGAACGCCTCCCTCCTCTCCTTTCCGATGCTATGAATTGATATCTGTTTCCGGCTTGGTCAGTTACAAGCATCACCCCATTCCCGGCCGGCATGAAATGGGCTCCGTTAGGTATTTCTAAGTTACGGTTGACGTCCGTTCTCGTGAGTGTTTTTTCGAAACATTTAAAATCAGCTTGCATTTCTTCCACCACCGACCACCCTGAAGAGAGAGACTTCACGCGACTGGACAGAGATTTTGGGAGAACTCCTGAGATTATCGTTTGAGCCTATTTAATAAGGAAAACAAGGTTTTCGAGGATACAGAGGCTTTTTTTTGTTGGGGGGGGGGGGGGGGGGTTGGGGTGGGAGAGAGAGAGAGAGAGAGCACTCCTAGACTGAGATTTTGAGAGCTAGAGACTCTTTATGGTTCCGTGCACTGTAAATAGATTGCCACTGTAATCTCAATCCAAGGTAAAAATGTTTGCTTTGACTTTGGTAGAAGAATAAAGGTAGTTTAATCAAATAATTTAGACAAAACATGACTTTGCCACTTGTGGAAATAGAGAGTGCGACTACAAGTCTCTCAATGATAGCTTTAGCCGTGCTTTATTAGTTTACAATTAATCGTCCAATTGTTCAGCTAAGAAATGTCATTTTATCAATTCACAAACCCTAGATAATGAAAAGGATTTGTGAATGGTTTGGAACTGGTAATTTTGAAACCATTATGTTACTTATCTTTATTTTTTTTTTTAAAAAATAAAAGTTATTTAATGGTATAAAAAAAAAAATAAATAATGTAATGCACCTGACTCCTTAACTCCAATTTCAAAACCAAATTAATAGAGTACATGCACAGACCTTTCACTTATCCAAAGTTTTTTTCCGAATAAGAAAACTCTGTAACACAGATCACTTTTGATCCATGCCTTAAAGTATAAACTTCAGATACTAACAAGAGTAAGCTGGGGGAGAAGACCGGCAAGTGTCAAACTCATGATGTCCAGTCCAAGTCTACTATTCATTCAAATTCAATCCAACACCACAAAATTTTCTGTACTAGTTAGCATGTTCAAAGCTTTAACCATCTTACTGATTAAACATTTGAGCAATAAATGGTCAAATATATGCTGCCATTGTGAGTGTGGTCCCAAGAAAATGGTACCTCATGGGACCCAGTTATCCAAAATGTAGAAAAAGAAAGAATTCTTGTGTACCAATTTGACTTCATCTCCGTCTACTGCACCGGTGGTTAGTTCAAGTAGACAGATAATATCTGTTTAAAAAATATTATTTAAATTTAATTTAAAAACTTAATTTAAGGACTTAATGATAAATAATTATTGAATTAGTTGTGGACTCTATTTAACATTAAAACTAACAACAAATTCGTATTAAAATCACATCATTAAATCTTCAGATGAAGTTCTCAAATAAGGTCCTATAATATTTCTCTATTCATTTTTAGAAGAATGGTCAAGGTATGTTTATTTTTTTTCTTATGCTGTTTTTTTTATTTAGTTTTGCATTTTTTGGATATAGGACTTCTTAAACCTCCTTCTTTGTAGCAGATAATAGGTTAGGTTTGATTTTGGTCTCTAATGGTTAATGGAAATGGAAGATTTAATATTCTTTTCTAGAAGATTGATCAAGGTATTTTTGTTTTTTTTTTATTCTATTTTTATTTTTTTTTGCTTTTCATTGAGGATTTTGTGGTCATATGAAAAATGTTGACTTTGGGTGTTTAGTAGCAAGTTAGCGGACCATGGGTGGAAAAGTAAGCTTGTGAGCGATCACCCGCTTGTGACCATAGGCTTCTTTTTTCTTCTTGTGCTAAGCGCTCTAGATATCCACAATCATGACCACTGTTCCTATCTTTCTCTGTAAGAAAGAAGAGGTTCTAGAAGCCAAAATTAAAAACTTATTATCCGTGTCATTTTGATTCTTAATCAGATAGTTTATCAAGTTTTTTAATAGAAGTAAATACGTGTCATTTTTTTTAGACGGTATCACATGCCCAATTACCCGGCCCGCATGAACACTAAATGAGAACAATATTCAAGTAAAGAAAATATTATTTACACAGAGTTTGAGAACCTTGATTTATTAAAAATTTCTTCGAACTTTCTTTCCTTTGTTTCTAAACCCAAGGCCCGAATCTTAGTCAACTAACTTAAAACTCACATATGATCTGATAATTATAATAATTAGGTCCCCAAAAGTCATTGCTCTTCAGCTAAACAATTCAAAAACTCACTCTTCAACATCTATTTGGTGAAAAGAGTTATAGAGAACATATTTTTCACGACTTATTTTGAAATTTAAGAATAGTTACCAGAGTTATGGCGTGGCCTCACTCTGAACACTAAATATAAGCCGTGTTATCAAATTACATGTGCAATTGTTGCTTGTTTGATTCTTCCATTTCTCCGTTCACACCTAGCTAGGCCTCCAAAGACAGAGAGAGAAAGAGGGAGGTGATATGTTGTAGGGCCCTCTAGTTGCTAATGCTCCATTTGGTAGAAAAGATAAAAAATAAGAATGATGAAAAATAGGAGGGATATATTTTCATTCTTTTGTGTTTGATTAAATGAATGGAAAATAAAAATGATTATTATTATTAATTTTTTTGTCCTGGCTAAAATTATGGATGATAATTGAATCGAGTGGTATCGTGTCAGATTCGTATTGAGTCATTACGAGTTTGTGTTGAATATTAGTCAAACTTAACTTAATTCATTTAACTAATTGTGTCGTGTCGAGTTACGAGTTGACCTGTTTATTTTCATATCGAGTTCGAATCGTGTTATCGTGTTGAGCCACAAATTTTCACCCTTAGTTAAGATGAAAAAAATATTTTTTTTAATTTAAATATTTTTTTATTTTTTTTAAAATTTTTTAAAATATATATTCATATTTACTTTTGTATTTTAATATGAAATTAATGTATACATAAGATATATACATAAATAAGATACATCTCAACACAAATAATTAACTTTTCATCCACTTTCCTTCCAATTTTGGAGGGATTGATTTTGGGTGAGTTGAAAGAAAGTTAATTCATCTACTTTTTCATCCTTCCTACTTTCATTCCTTACCAAACATGATGTTTTATTTATTCCTCCAACTTTTCATCCTCCCACTTTTTCATCGTACCAAACAGAGTAATGTTACATGGACTTAAAAACTAGATTTAAAAATTAGACTTGATAATTTCAACTATTGAATAGATAGTTGGTCTCAATAAATGCTGAGACCCACAATAAAATCAATGATTGAGATTATCAAGTTTAATTTTTAAGTTTAATTTTTAAATTCATGCAACATTACTCAGGTCAATAAAGAGTGAATGACTTCTTATGCCCTATATTTTTTTTAAAATTTTAATATAAATCTTGATACATTAAAATGTTCTCCTTGCACCCTTAATTATACAATAAATGTAGTAATAGTCCAAACTAAATGTTTGTTGCTTTGTACAACAATTTTTTGCCAATATTCTTTATCATTTCTTAGTTTGTATAAAATTATTTATATATTATGCTATTTTAATTATTTTATATTTGAAGGTTGTACTCTATTTTATTAAGACATACTAATTGCCGCCTCTTTGATTGGGGTACAATATAAAAGTTTAATTTCTTAGGGTGTAAGTTCAACAATGAATGCATCATTCACTCATTAATAAATACTTGAATATTAACCCCAAGGGATAACTTAAATATTAATAGAGATTAGCTGTAAAATCAAATATTATGAGTTCAAATTTTGGTAACTCTTTGAGGACAGGTCATGAAGAATTTTTTCTTTATAAATACCCTAATCACAATATGGATGACCTATTTTTGACCGGACCGGAAAGAAGATTTGTCAAAGTGTGCGTAATTAGGCCAAACACCCAACAAAAAAAAAAATTGTAAACCTACCCCTGGGAAAAAAAAAGAAAAATTAAAAATAACCAAAAAATTGTGCATTGTGGCTACGCCATTACTTTCAGGTCAGTAGCAAAAAGAAGGCCCTAAGATTTAAATAATTTAGAAGAATCCTTGTATGACAAAAATTGAGGGTGTGACTTAATGTACACCAAGCATTTGATGGTGGGTCTTAATACTAAAATGGAATGCGTTACATTTTAAAATTAAGTACAAATGTTGAATTTCTATTAGATTACTAGCTACGATCCATCCATAAACATATTGATTAAAAGACGGAAAAAAAAACTCAAGTTCTTTTATAATCCTATCCATTATACTTTGGAAAAATTATATTCAGATCCCCTCAAATTTATCATTTAATTACTCATATACCTTAACATTTGAAATATTATACACAAACCCCCTAAGTCTTGTACGTCCGTAACACTTAGACCTCTGTCGTCAATGTTCATTAGTATGTCTGTTGGAAAATTACATCTAGACCTCCTGAAGTTTGAAGGTGTGTGTGTAGTACTTACACCCCTCAAGTTTAAAATTTTATACTTAAATAAAAAATACTTCAATCAAAAATAGAATATCAAATATTTTAAATTTTACAATCAAAATTTATATTCTATTATGACATTTATTGAAATAAAATTAAAATTAAAAATCTAATTTTTTCTTTAAAAATCATAATTATTATATAATTATACTATCAATTAGAATTTAATTTGGTCATTTAAACGACCAAATTAAACTACCAGATTACCCTAATTAAAGTTAGAATATATTGTTTCTGTAATGCCCCTAAAATCGGGAGTCCTTTGTCATCCCGTTGATCATCTATCAATATGCGAAAATACTCGTGAATACCGCATAACCCGACATCATGGTACAACATTCCCTTTACCGGGATCACAAACAACACGGAGTTTTGGACAGAGTCTCCCTTGTACCGGGCACTTCCAAACGTATAACCTGTGCACCATTCAATCAAATGACCATTTCAAGGTCCAATATACCTCAATTCATACTCAATTATTGTCCATTTACATCATTTGAATAAAAGAACTCAAGACCCAAAGGCTTAGCAAAAATATTTTAAAATTTGAGATTTTAACAAAACCTACTGATAGAAGATGTACAAGTTCTACCAGTAAAAAAAGGCTATTGAAAAAGTTTTACCGGTATAAATGTCAACATTCTACCAGTAGGAAAACTCACTGAAATTGTTCAACATTCTCAATTGTCAATTATATCATAAGCATATAATTACAGTTTACAACATCATCCGAGTATGTTTTTCCAATTTTATCAAAATAACATACTTCAATCATTCAAGACATTTTATCAAACACCTACATACATCATTCAAGACAT